GAATGTGAACGCACGCGAAGACAATCACGCAATCGTGCAGCTGACGCAAGATAAACATCAACGGATAAAATGAACAAACGTTCAAGTCTTCGAAAATGGTTTTCGTATAGGAAACCGAAACGTCAGACAAAACTTATTTAATTTTGTAGTAATCTAGAAGTACAATAAAACAAACAAAAAATGAATGAACCTGGATTCAAACCCTTTAAAGAAAACTCTTTTGTATGCATCCCAAACAAACAAAGTTTTCCAACGCTATCCACACAGTAAGACTATGGAACTGCACTATGTAAAACTAATTGATCCGACCTAATTTTCCGATCATTCATGCATGATCATAACCATCGCCATTGGGAGAAACAAACAAACGAATGAAGATGATGTTTAAAACCGGACCCAAATATTTTTATTCCTGTTACAAAGTTAGTCTGATATATGCACTAAATAACCATGTTACTTCCACTGATTCACCCTATACTCTTGACCGGCCATATTGGTTCGATCTCATTAGTTATTTACTGCAAAATTAAGACAAACGAACAGTCAGCAGGGGCCAAACCTATTTTGCCTTCATCCTGTTCATCTTGTGCCTTCAATGCTAGTAAGTGCATTTGTGTATGTTGGCATCGTTCAAATGTCTTGTGGACTCCTGCCAACACGTTTTTTCTTCGATTTTCCTATTAAACTCTTATATAATTGTTAAAATTAAAAACGAGAAATTTCAGGTTCATTTATAGAAAGCTTACACAAAACAACATAAAAGAGATCTAAACGGTTACCTTGACTTTTCAAACGATGTTCGAGTTATTGCTGTTCAACTTGAATAATCAAGGTACAGGCTAACCAAAAAAGTGGAGGGGTACCAAAAATAGAGCGTAGTGTAAACGGGGCTGACCATTTAGGTAGTCCAAGAACAAAAAAAGTGGTCCGTGCCGTACCAAAAATTGTGCCTGGTGTAAACGGGGCTTTATTCTACATTATAAGTACCCAAAGAAGCTATATACATAAAAAAAACTGGATACTAATAGCTGTTTTGCGAAATTGAGAGGAATTTCAAATCGGTTCAGGTTTTTTTTATACACCCTGTATAAATGAACATTTACCTGAAATTTCACATTTTTAACAATACAGAAGTTTAATAGGAAATTAAAATCGAAGAAAAACATGGCAGGGCCCACAAGAAATTTGAGTGCTGCCAACATACAGAAATGTACTTACCAGCCTTAAAGACACAAGATGATCGAGGCAAAATGGAATTGCCCCCTGTGAGTTTTCATTCAATTTTGGCCGCTATATGCCTGACTAGAACGGCAACTAGGGCGACCGAATAACGATTTTTCCAGTCCTCACAAAATTCTCCGTTGACTGGTATAATCTAGATTAAACTTTAGCATTTATAAATTAAAGTTTCTTTCTATTAATTGTGAGGTCCATATATAGGCAATATCAGGTTTTTAAATTAACGCTAATCAAATGCATCGCCCTGGTTTTCAGATCAGTTCGCCCACATGTACTAAATGTTTTACCGTCTAGCCGTCGCATGCAGTCAGTCTGATACTCTATGCCGATGTTCTCCACAATCTTGGTCATTCACGAGAAGCTCTTCCTCATATCCTCAGGTACGTGAATTTTAGTTTCTCCACACAAATTTTGTATTTAAACCTTGCGGTCATCAGCCAAGGTTGAATCAACTCGCGGCCTTCATAAATCCCAATTTTTCATACAACTTGTTTGACATGCATGAATCGCGGTATACATGTGTGTGGAGAGGGGATAGCAATTAGGGACAAACACTAACCTTGAAGGGAGCGGGAGGATCTTTTAAACATAATGTTATAAATGTACGTGTAAGAAATATTTTTAATCGAAATATGGGAAAAAAATCCTAGTTACCCATGCCGTTATGTTACATGACAATAGATAACCGTGTTCTTCATGAGAATAGATAACCGTGTTTTTCAAGCCACGGAACTCCACGTGAGGGAATTTTACCGTTAATTTTCCAAGCCTCCTTGCACAGAACTAAAACAAAATCTTTCTTCTAGTGCGTTGAAGATGCATCCAAGAAATAAGGACGCTATGGAGATTTTAAAGTCAATCGTGGAAAATCTCTGAAATGTCGTACGAATTCAAGCATTTTTGTAGTCAAGTATGACAGATCCAATGCTTTTAATGTCCTCTTTTCTAAATCACGAGGACCCCAAAGTAATATTTTGCCACGGGCTCTAATTATATACAAATATCTGTATATCTTAAATGAGACGTCGTATTGATTTAGCCTGAACCACCGACGTCATTACAAGAAATCTCACGCACATATTCGTAGTTGCATGCAATCTCTGCCATCGTGTTTGATTTTCGTAAAACACATAAAGTTTATCATTCTTGATCGTATTAACTCAATGCCGGTAAAATGGTCCAGATAAGTCGGTTTTAACACAAATCACGGAATAGTAAAAGAGCTCAGCCCAGTCAGCCGCCACACGTACTAAAATAGCCTACTACACAGCTGAGTTCCAAAAATTGTTTCAAACGTCAAGAAATCTCTTGGGATACTAGTCCAATTCTCTCTACCAACTGAGCTACGAGGTCAAGTCTGTTCGAGTTGGTGTAACCAATCTCGTCTCGTAACTCGTTGCTTCGTGGCGTAACTTTCGGCTAAGGCTCCAAGCCTGTACTGTCAATAGGCCGCCCCGATCCTGCATGTGCAAGGTTTCACAGTCCCACTAAAATTTGGCTATATTTCATTTTAGGCGTTCATAAATGGAGTACAAAGTCGTTTGCAAAGAACGATTTTTCTGGTAATATGCCGAGAACTTGTGCAACAGTTGTTCAAAAACATCGGCTTTCATACTTTTTCATCCGGGACTTACTGTACGCAAAATAATATAACAACTAATGATTACGGTTTTGAATACCTTAGTCTAGGAAAGGTCAGATGGTACCTGGCAAAAAATAAATACGGAAGAGCAAGATATCTGCGTACCCACGTGTTACTTGGCCACATAAGTACGCGATTTCTCGCACCCTGGGCCACTCCCGGCTTTAGCCAGGAGGCGCCAAAAGGAGTTATGCCACTGATTATGTTTGCTTGTGTATAACTATATTCCATTCATTATGAGTAATGCCTAAACGAAAGCTGGTTAGCTACAATATATATACAATTATAGGTGCTCTTGTGCAAGAACAAACGTCAAAATTACTCATTAATACGAGCTGCTTTGAGTGAAATGTTCCCGGAAAATTTCCGTTGAGTATGCCTTTGCAAGCAACCTCACCCTTTGAGTAAAAAAGAAGGCTTTCTTTGTGCCAATGTGCTTTACGCATCATGCACTTGAACCACCTGATCGACTAAGCAACCCTGCCAAACACTTGTACTCGGTTATTTCTGAAGTCCGCCACAACTATACTACCATCTCTAGTAATGCCCAAACCATGAGGATCATTTAGCTGTCCATCCCCGTCACCTTTCCAACCAAATTTATGCAGGAATTTTCCATCAGCACTAAATATTTGTATTCTATGATTGTCTCTATCCGCAACAATTATATGTCCTTCTCTGCTCACCGCAACTCCGGTTGGTCGAAGTAGTTCGCCATCCAAACTTCCCTTCTTGCCAAAATTGAACAGAAACTGACCACGGGAATCGAAAACCTGGTAGAAGGGAAAACATAGTCTATTGTGAACTCTCTAACCCAAGGTGAAATTTTAAGATGGGATATTTCTGATTCGTAATATGAATGCCAAAAAAGCATGCTAGTACAATCTATGAAGGTCTTTGTGAAACTCATTAATAATTCAATGAAGAAATCACAAGAGAAACCATGACCGTGAAAGAGTTTATATCTGATTTAAGTAAAATTCTCACCAAATATCATTCATTTTAAATTGTTGAAGAATATGTATATCCGATACATCACACCGGTCATGTTGTAAATAGAGAGTTTGAGCAAGAGAACGAAGCCGGACGACGACGACGTGGTTGACAATTTTTGCCTGTCTTGCACATTATCTTGCGCATTCTGAGTTTAGGGTCAGGAATGAAGACAGATTAGAGATTCGTGTCTAGCTGTTTGTGAATGCTGACTCAAATCCTTGCCCTGATCAGGATAAAACAGCGAGACATGAATCCATATCCCGTCTTCGTTCTTCTGCCTTCGTTCACAACGAATATTTTGGCAAAATTCGTTGTGAACTTGGTTCTGCACGAAGGCAGAAGGACAAAGACAGGATATAGTGTCATGTCTCGTTGTTCCCTTCTGGATCAGGGCAAGAATTATGGTCAGTATTCATAAACAGCGACACATGGGAAGACACGTTGAGCAACTACCAGTGACGTCCAACTCAGTATGCGCAAGATAATGAGCAGGCGGCAAAAATTGTCAAGTATGCCTTAGTCTTCGTACTCTTGCTCAGACTGTCTAATAGTACGTCTACCACGCTAAATCATATAACACTGCATGTCCAAACAAAGGATGATAATATATTACCTGTATCTTATGACTATGCATATCTGATACAATAATGTGACCCCTATCATTCACAGCTACATAACATGGATATGACAATTCTCCCGTATCGTCCCCAAATGAACCAAACTTGATGGAATGACCTTTGAAAAGTAAGAAAAATAAGCCGTTTGTGGGGTGTAAGTATAGTAAAAAGGCTGGCGCATAAATCTTCACCTCTATGGTCCGGATTCAATTCGTGCAATTGAAACGCTTTCAGGTATTATTGGAAGGGGGCGATTGCCCCATCCCCCTAGTGTCGGAAATTGGCTACATTGTTTCCAATTCCATTCTACTAAAACAGCGACTTCCTTCAGTTCTTACACTGGGTCAATAATTGTAGTATCTGTCTCTTACGGCAGCTCTAGAGTGAAGAGTCCACAAATTATATCAACTCGGAAGCTCACTGCGAGTTCTTTCAATCAATGAATGTTCGACAGTCTGTTTTAATAAGTAACTTGGTAACTTTCGAGTTGGTTTCGTCGATGAGTGAAAAAAGTCCTTTCTGGGACACTTTTGCGTACGTATAGTAACACTTGGCAGGTCACCGATATTTTCGTGCCTTTGTGATGAATACTGACCTGTCTCCATGTTCACCACGTGAACGCAGCGATTCGCTGAGTCAGCAATCACAATTTGATCTCCTTCTCCAATAGCCAGTGTCGAAGCCTTAAGATCTGGTATACGATATTCACGTAGGAATGAACCATCACGAGAAAATACCTAAGGAAGTGAGACGATGATATCTTTACTTGTTCTACATTATGATCTGCGTTTTCAAACTCAGTGCTCCGGCCAAACTCCTTATTGTAGATGGGGCATTCAAAATCTACTGACGAAACCAGATAAGATAGGTTACTGCTGTGATAGTATACATGAAAATGTTACTCGACAGTGATTGGTGCAAAAATTCGTAACAACAGTACTGATGCAGAGGTTTCTGCAATTATAGAAAATAAACAATTGATTCCCACCGTGGCCAGGAATATTTTTCAAGCTTGCCCGGTGTGGATATACACTCGGAGTAACATCACAAGCATCATATTCACCTGAGTACATTACATGGACACAGAAAATTCAAAATAAACAGTTAATGGATGGGGTTTTTGTGATATCCAGAATTATTATTCATTGTCCTATTTTCTCGTATAATACTATTCTTATAACTTGAAAGTCTACAGATAATTTTCCGTATCGCGGTGCAGACACGAACATGACAAATAAATCTCGTATCTGCATGTGAACATGACAAATAAATATCGTATCTGTATGTACCCGCGTATTTTTGCAGCGGTATGTTGCATGAACTGGAAAAGAGCAAAAAAAAAAAAAAAATTATTTTGTTTTGACAATCGCTTCTGCTGCTTCTGCTCGTTTTGCTTCGGTTTCAACAGAGCAAATTGGGAAATAGTTCAAGACAAAGATTCTGAAAATTTAAAGATACTGAATAATAAAATAATTATTGAATTCGGCATACGCAGGATATCAGAATTATTCAAACCTCGGTCAGCCTTATCCGCCTCAGCTTCGCTTCGGCAGATAACGCTGACCTCGGTCTGAATAATTCTGATATCCTGCTCAGCCTCATCCAATAATTCTTAATTATCAAGGTCAAGGTGTTATCAATCGAGCTGAAGGCGAGATTGATAACACTTACATTGTATTTTCATTAATAGCTCTTTCGACAAACAATGATTTATCGAACAAAACAACGTTTGGTTCTCAAAGGAAGCAGTGAAAACGCCGTAAATTGTCACATAACAGCATAAAAATATTGAAAATCTCATTACTCACTAAAGTTCCGATAAAGATGTCAGAACGTTCTGCTTTTTCAGCTTTTATACGAAAAAATCACCGCTGTTCGTTCATGCTGCTTTTTCTTGTTTCTATTTGTGTTTATTCGCGTATTTAAAACTGCCGCTTGCTATAAAATTACATACAGTGGGCTCAACCAACACATAACTCAGCAGATAACTGCGTGATATCCATGTGCGTGATTTCCATATTTACCAGTATAATAATTAATCATTCAATGTGTCAGCCCCTACCTGTAATCTATAACTGAGTCTTTCACAGACGATGATCTGTCCTCGAACATCAATTGCAACTCCAGTTGGGCATTGAAACTCGCCGCTTCCCTCGCCTTTGCGACCGAAATGAAAGAGAAACATTCCATCTGAACTAAATACTTGAACACGATGATTATGACAGTCTGTTACAACTATTCTTCCTTCCACAGGATCCACGGCCACCCCAAAAATACCATTGAATTCCCCCATGTTGCTTCCTTTTCTACCAAACTTGAGGATCATTCCACCAGATTGAATGACTTGCACTGTGAATGGACTCCCTTGTACGTGTTCATTTTGAATACACACTGTCACCTGGCGGGTAAAGAAGAAGCAAATATGAAAAATGATTTCTAGGTTAGAGTATATACCTACTCCCATGAGAGAAGGTTCTTATCTGATCAGGGATCATTATTCATGGTTGGCGGCACCGACGAGAGGGTAAACAAAATTTTAGATGAGGAAAGGTAGAGTCAGAAACAATAACTGTATTTCAAAATCGTTTCATTATATTATTTTATTAACTTAAAAAACAACTAAAATACCATATAATTTTGGGGGGAAATGTTGCGAACTGAGTTGAGCTTTGAATTCTTTCCCAAACATTTTTAGCTAACACAGTCAGAGGATGTAATAACGTGGTATCAGGGACGTCGCGAAGACATCAACATTGGGG